TATGTATTATTTGTATCCTGTTTTATTATGGAGTCCTAAATGTATATTTGCTGTATTTATATTTGTTGTTTTATAAAAACAAAACGCTGTGCGCTCGCCGGGACGGCTCGCATTTAAATAGGGGTGGGTGTAAGGGGTTGAAAATGACACTTTTTATGCATATTGTAAGAGGCCATCGTCTTTGATGCTTTTGTGGCCAGTATGATAATCTGGTTATGCTAATTCGAGGCTTTGATGATAGGAACATCAAGGACATGTCGTATGGGTGCGAAATATTGTGTTGTTCCCCTTGCTAGACGACTGTCTGCATTGCAATATGTGTCCTGTCTGTGGTTTGACAATAAAAGCTGGGTGTTCAGTGGGTTGGGAGAACAGTCTAGAAGACAGTCTGAGACAGAGACAGCTTGAGAGAAGGTTACAGAGAGAGACTGTTCCAGCCCCACGTCTCCCGTGCGTGTGTGACGGCAATGCCTGTGTCCTGTGTGTGTTCTTGCTAGCCCTGTAGTTAGTCTCCTGTGCAGCATCCACTTAAAAGAACCTGGTGAATTCCACCTCGGTTACAGACACACAAACAGGCAAACAGGTAAGGTGTATCTAATATGTCAGCTTAGAAGAACGTCACAAAGTATGACGGAGGTAAATAACAGAAGAGTGTGTTGAAGTTAACCTGAGGAAATGACTCTAAGGTCAGGTCGTGGGGGTTACATTTTTTCAGCCCAAGGAAATGCCATTGACATGTGTGTTGACAGGGAGACCTGGGCTCACCAGCTCTGCAAATTGGCAAGCTTACAAAACGTCTAGACAATGATCAAGTCTGGGTTATTCACACAGAATCTGATCTCCCATAGCTGCCATCCACCTTGTGAAGAGACCTACCTTCATGTAGCTTCTACTACTGAGTACTACTGACATTACTATACCTACATTGTATGGTTTCAAAAATATTAATAGATACTGCCCTTTTAGACATGGCCTTTAGAGATGCCTTTAAGATGCGAACCATTTCCTTTGTTTATATACACAATGTAGGACCAGAAACTTCATTAAATTTCCTCACTAGTAATATGTCTTTTTTTAGATACATTTGTATTTTGATAAGTTGCATGCGCTTAGCAACCCATAAATTATAGTGATCACAATTTTCAAGGCACCTTATTATGGTGCCATATTTAGACTTTGCTGCAGGCTTAGGAGCACCAATTAGGGGAAATTCTAGCTTTTATATGAAATCTGAAATGTTTTAAGTACATCTTGACAATAGGAGAATGTTCATGTTCTAAATATACACATGCATTTCCTTCATATGCTATATATAGTGGCACTGCTAACATAGACCATCATGACAATTATGAGGAATGCATATTTTAATGCACACAATGTAAATGTACCAGTAACCATAATAATTGTCAACACATACAAGCTTTACTTAATCAAGATTTTGTGGGATATCTATTTTGGGAATAAGTGTCATACAGTGTTTACCATGCACATGCACTGTTATCTTACTTGAAGGTATTGCCAATTTCATACCTGCATTTTAAACACAATACCTACATGAAAAACTATCAGCATATGAGTACGACTGTGCGTTGTTACATTGTATATCTTTTTGATGAACAAAATGTTTGGCATGCTTTATTTCCTAATGCAGTATGGATTTTAGTAGAATGAATGACTAACTTCCTTCCTTGAGCATTATCCATGGGTTTGTAGTCTTCCTAAGTTTTGAAAACCTTTTGACCCACAGGAACTGCCCTCTATGGCTTTCCTTTCCTACTTTCTCAGAAGTGAATCAATCCTGACTCATGTTTGTTATTTCCCATGCAGACATGCTGAAGTGGTGGAGAGTCTGAGACATCGACAGCGCCACCAGTAGCTGGGAGGACCCATTCCGCAATACAGCAGGACTATTCCCGTTGCTGATTTCCTCCATGGGCAAGTGCTTGTCGCACTGTGTGGACTCCAACTCCACCGAGTCCCAGAGGAGCCAACAGTCACACAATGGGAAACACCGCACCCCCACCCCACCCAGCTACTACAGCTCTGTGCAGAAGGGCCAGTCTGTCAGGTCTGCTCCATCAGACGGCTCTCATGAGGAATACTACACAAATGGCTCCTCCCACAAGGAGATGAGGACTTCTGAAAAAAGGTCCCCATGCATCCTGCCAAGCTGCCAACCATCTCATCCATTCAGAGGACCAGCAATAACAACCTGAAAACAATCTCCATCTCCCCTCCGGAGTACTCTGAGACCAGGATCCGTAAACTGTTTGACAAGTACAAGGACGAGCAGGAGGACTGCATCCTGGCTGAGGGGGTGGAGCGGTTCTGTCAGGACCTCGGCGTGGATCCCGCCGAGTTTATCGTGCTGGTGTTGGCGTGGAAGTTTAATGCGGGAACGATGTGCAAGTTCAGCAGGGAGGAGTTTGAGGGAGGCTGCAGGGCGCTGAAGGTCGACAGCATCAAGGGCATCCAGGCGTCCTTCCCAAGCCTCCTGCAGGAAGTCAAGGACGAAAGCACCTTCAAGGACTTGTACAGATGGACATTCCAGTTCGGCCTGGACTCGGACCAGGGCCAGAGGTCCCTGCCAATAGACATGGCCCTGCCGTTGTGGCACCTGGTGTTCTCCCACAGACCGCCGCCGCTGCTCCACCGCTGGTTCGAATTCCTGAAGGACAGTCAGGTGCGGGGGATCTCGCGAGACACGTGGAACATGTTCTTGAACTTTGTGGAGGTGGTCGGCGAGGACTTGAGTACTTACGATGACACAGAGGCATGGCCAAGTCTGTTCGACGACTTTGTTGATCACGAGCACCAAAAGGAAAAACTAGCCAAGGAGAAGGGAATGCAGGAGCATGAGGTCTAGAGAACATTAATGTCTAATGGTGATCAACATGCTGTCTTTTGTTAATGTACTTAATCTGCACTTGTATTGGGCTGGTGTAAATATAGCTGCAATGGGGTGCTTTGGAAATATGTGTGGCAATCTTTTACCGTCAGAGTTCAAGAGAAGTCTGTGCATGAAATGCTTCATATTGTTTATTGGACAAATGGATGTGAAGTGATTTAGCACCCCATACTTTGTAAGGCCTTTGAAGTTTTTAGACCACCATGTTTTATAATGATGTATCATTTCTTGAAATTTTTCCCACAACAAAATGTTTCTGCAATCCATGGTCTGTACATGGCCCTTGTGATTCAAATCAGGGGAAACTCCAAGTAGCCATCCACATATTGCTAACATACATACCAATAAGAACTGAGTTCAAGTAAGTCAGTTATTATCTGGTAATTTGATGGCGTATTGCTTATTTTTACCGACATCTAACGTTAGTAACAGTGAAAGCATGCCAAGCTCTCTTGTACCTATAACAGTTACATGTACAGTTGGTCCTGTAGTCCCAGCTCAAGGCTTATGGACTCAAGAACATTTTCTGCACAGTATAACATCTTGACGAAAATAGGATTGTTTACTCTGAACAAGGAGGTATTCAACCTCCTTGCTCTGAACTGAAAGAACAGACAAATACTTGTAATTCTGGCTACTGGTGGTGCTGCTCTTTCCTACAGTGTAGCATGGATTTATAATCAATATATTACTGTGCTTTACATTTGGCATGGTACAAACATATGTATGTATGACAAGACAGCTCCATATGAGAACAACTTACCTTGCATTCTACCAAACAGTTAAACACACAGATTCAAGGGAATTTTCCCCCCACAAATTTACACTGACAAAGTCTGAATTGCTTGTTGCAAAGAAGGATGTTTTAGAGTTAGAGAAATCATCTGTTAGATCAAGATTGGATAAAGCATTGCTAATGTTGCAATATATTTTTGTGTTGTAAAGTAGAAGTTGTAATTGTAATGTGCTATCACCTTGGCAGGATATTGCCTGAAGCAGCAAAGAAACTTTTTATGTATGTATGTGATGCCTTGCTCAATAACAGCACTATATGTATGTGTATTTAGAAGCCGTAGCTTTGGATTGAAATGTTTGTAAATCTCAATGAAAATGCTGACAATGTAATGTTGGATAGGTCGTTTCAGGTCCTTTGGTAACATTCCTGTAATATATTACGAGTGAGAATTAAGCATCTTAGCTTCAGTATGTAAATATGATGTGGCCACTATTTTATGTGGCTATAGAAGGTACAGTACTGTAGAACTCTCTATTTGTAGATGTTGCCTATATTAAGAATTCATTCAGCATGAATGAGTTATCTCGCTGTCCTTTTTTTAGCATTTTTCTCTCCTAATTTTTATAAAAGCCTGTGTGGTCTAGTATGCATTTCTGTGGTTTAATAATTGTTATCACTGTGTAAGAGTATTTGTATTGGAAAACTTAATTTTATTTTAAGATTTCTGACAAAATGATCTTCAACAAACTCGACATTCAAGTTGATCACCAAGTACACTGACTGGGTACTGATGTTTGACCAGTTACAGTGGACTGATTTCCAGTCATCCACCATTGGTGAAGAGCTTTGTGCTCTGCTGATATAGTAGCAGTAGAGACAATTTTTTTTGTTTGGCTACATGGTTAAAATGGAAAGATAATTCAGGTCAACTGTTTTACATACTATTTTAACTTAATTTAATTTTCCTGTACATTGCAAGTATTGTTTTTACAGAAAGTAGGCATGATGCCCAAGTATTGTGCTAATGGATGCATGTGTAGAAGAATAGATAGCATTTGTTGTGCTGGTCATTTCTTTGTTGTTTTGAAGAACCAACGATTTTGAAATAACGATTAATTGCTTATTGATTAGGACCTGTGATATTAAGATGTGTTATATTATATGTAAAGTTACAAGTATGTACATGTATCAGTATTTGAAATGATACCCATTATCATGTATTAATGATTATTTTGTTGACTTACCGCAAGGTTATTTGCTAGCCAGCATACATGAAGTGCAGTCATTTTGTTTAAGTTCCAAGTTAAATGAATGTATATGAATCCTGTGTTTCTGTAAGTGGCAATATGCAATCACAAACTGCACCCAGTGATCTCTGTGTGGAAATGTTTGATGCTGCTGTGTCATAAGCGTGTATCTAGTCTTCAGAATTCAGAGCAATTAATAAGCAAGGTCTCGACATCTTTATGATAAATTCAGAAGAGTAAGAGAAGTCTTGGAGGCTAATCAAACTTCTGTTGCGTCTGGCCTGGCAATATTTGACATGGTGAGTTTTGCTGTCCTTAGCATTTTTGAAGAATTTGGCTCTCCAGTCTAGCTTGCACTCTATCTACAAGTTTAATGTATGAAGAGATATGTATACATCCAACCATTCAAAATTTGAGAATTTATCTGTCTGCAAACACATCAGGTGATGTAGCCAGCATGCCATATAGCTGGTTGTTGACCCCTTTGTCAAAACAAGAACTACTAAGAATTTTCTGACTATTTTTACTAATAATTGGTCTGAATTCTTAATGCTTGCTACAACTAGCATGGCAACCCTGTGTGCACTAACATCAGCTTTCATGTTCATATGTACATGCATGTGCAAAAGCTTGAACAATTAAACCACTCACATCATGCAGTTTGAAGAAGGTCACTACTCATACCAGTAGTCACTCCTGTCAAATACAATTTGAGCTGTAGCCTGTAGGACTGCACAGTTTGGGGAGGCTTTGGGAAATAAAATAATCCAAAAATGCACAAGCCCCTTTGATCTAAATTTTCCTTTCAAGATCAAGAGGCTCATTTACTACTTGACCAAATTCATAGACAATCAACTCCTCAAAATAGTAATATGCTACATTCCACAATTAGTATGACACTACAGCCCCTCAACACAGGCATTATAACCAGCTGGTGCACAAAGCTCCTTGCTGTATTGTAGTTACAGTGAGTACACGGTACAATAACTGGATTGAATGAGTTGCAGGTACATGTGTACCGGTAAATGAAATTTTGAGCGGCCAAGTCTGATGGACACTAGTCCAAAACTCTATCAGATACTCTATCATGTACTTGAACATGAATTTCATGTGTAATGGCGGTCTGTGCCAAGTGAGGTGTATACCGTGCATGTGGGTGTAGGTCCTCTGAAAGTGAAGATGTAGAATGCCACAGAGATGTTTCTGTTGCTCAAATGAGTCAACACCACCATTAATTAAGGCCACTCCTCAAGTGTCATGAGATACTAGTAAGATAATGTAGAGTGAAAGTTGGCTACATATATGTAAGTGCAGGATAGTCTCAATTGCAATATATCATACATGTCTGACACGTAATCATTGCATCTGTTTGGCATATGTGAAATTTAAAACTTTGATGACATTACAAACAACATGGAAGTTATCAACTTGTACTGTGTAATTCTTGTCCTGAGTCTTTTGTATATCAAGAGGATGTAAATCCATGTTGATCCATTTTAGTGAATGGCTGCATGCATTATGGACCTACAACACTAGAGGGCTCTTCTGCATGGTATGAACTATGGTAGTACTCAATCCATCCCTCACCAGTTCTCACTACATTTTGGTATTGCCAGAGAAGTCTATGCAACATTTGCTGAACATCAGTAGAGTCAATAGCAGGGTAAATTGAAGTCATCCTGTTCTCCAGTTTTGAGACACAATAATCCAAATGACTCTAACACTGAACTGCAACAGAATCAACCACTTCCTCAATGTAGCTGATTTATTGGTCAAATTCTGCATGATTCTAGTTGTTACCTGGCATTCTTAACAATATGAGTACTAGTAGTGCTGTTGTCTTTTAGCTAACAATACTACATGTACATCTACTGATGTATATGTATGCCAGACCCCATTCCTGTCACTGGTATTGTCTTGATCTTGTATCTTTTGTTTTATGGAATGGTTATGGAAAACTAAAGGTCATATCTTTGATGAGGAAGTCCGGTGTATGTATGTTTGGTAATTGGACATGCACAAAACTACATTTGTATGGTACACCAATGAAGTTTAGACATCCAGGTAATAAGATACAGAAGAAACTGTTACTCAAAGCTATGTTACGGAGTGTAACAACAAAGTTCAAAACCAATCCAGTTGCTTGAGTAACAACAGTCCGAACTAAACCTGATGCTGTAAATGTGTGCGGCATGTAATGTTCCGATTCTTACAAAATGGTGGAGTACTTGTGTAGATTTATGTACTAGTAAGGTAGTCTCCCACCCCATAACCTTTCTGTTGCAGAATACCCACTGGGTCTATGATGCTTTTGGAACAACTTTTGGAGTTTTATTTGATTTTCTGCATGACAACAGACTTTTGAACCATAATTCTAAGATTGTTTGTAGAGTCGAGACAAAGTATCTAACTACATTCTATTAAGGAAAACTAAAACAATAGATTCTACAGAGGGAAAAACATAAGACACACTTTCACACTTACATAAGGATATTCTATAGCTACATGCAATGTTCTACAGAACTAGTATTTTTTGTTTTTGGCCTACACAGAAGCTGAACTCACAGAGTAATAAATGGATGTACAATGGCCTAATGGTGATTTCCATAGCAATGATAATTCCATGATAGCAATACAACTGCAGTCATACATAGCCAATAATTCTGAACTCAAAAAAGGGAATTTATGTAGAGAGAAATGGAAAGGAATGTACCTTTGAACACTTACAACATAAAGTACAGTAGTAGTACCGAATCATTTTCTTTGCTTCACATAATTGAATAGCAAGTTATGAAATATGGTTCCCATTAAAGTAAATAATAGCAATTAATACATCTGTTTTCACCAAATATTGTCATTTTACATTGTATACAAAAGCTGTGTTGAGGATAGATTAATGGTTACCTACAATGATGGTACAAAATTGAACTGTTTTCTTTAACCAGGTAGCAGGCATGCTGATACAAGATGGAAGGGAACTGCTACAAACGTCTGAGTGCTCTTTTTTTGTCTTTCTTCTTTTTCTCTGCTGCATTCTTGTCTCCTGCGTGCTTTTTTGCCATCGGCCCTTCACTGGTAGATTGCATTCCTGAGGTAGATGGACAGTTTGTGTCTTCGTTTTTCGTGGGCGCAGTCTTTGTCGTGGGCTTGGCATGAATTTCTGTCATCATTCGCGCTCTTTCCGAGTAGTTGTCATACTGTTCCAAGAGCAGCTTTCCGGCTTCTTCATTCAGGGCAGACTCAGGGTTGGGATAAATCAGAAGACACTTGATGGTGAGAAGGACGTGTTTGAGACCAAGATCGGCTTTCCAGTCTTTCTTCAGTGTGTTGACACAAATCTCTCCATTCTTGGCAACGTTGGGGTGGAAAATCTTGGTCAAGAAGAATCCCTTGGGAGGAGTCTGGGGAAAGTCCTTCCCAAGGGACAACTTAATTTTGAACTGGCCACCTTCATACGGAGTTCCCCCTGCAAATAGTGTACAAGTACTGGGTTAGATAATGAACATACATGTTACAATGTTACAATACTAATACCTAGATAGCTGACTTGGAACTACTGAAACTATTGAAAAACTGCCAGAAGCTATCACAGATTTTTTATTATCCTGATGAATTGGAAAACTGACAATGTCCTCCTGGATCTACAATGTAGATGTTTAGGTAACAGCAGCAATTTTTTGGGAAATACTGGTTTGTCACCAGATCATATCAGAACTAGTAAGTGTAAGAGCAACATTCGACAAAGACAATTTACACTGTTTGAAGAGTACTAGTATTCAATCAGAGAACAGTCTTGCCATGAAGGTGTTCTACTGAAAAGAGTGATGTTGGATCTTACCCGGGCCCTCAATAGTGGCCTGTACATCTGTGATGTCCTGTTCATTTGGAAACACTTTGACCCCTTCAGGCGGGTTGTTAGCGAGGTCAAGAACTTCTTTTGCCACCTGCCGGATAATCTGAGGTGACAAGTTCTCCACGTTGGAACTCTGCAAGGGACACATAAAAACAGGAAGGTGAATACAGGAGCACATGAAGACCCAGTACACCACAGGATGGATTTCTTCTCTTCTGAACATGGTGTTCAAATTAGATTTTTGCTGGTCATGACCATATGTGCTATTATTCCCCAGGGCTCTCCACATAAAGCGAGGGTGCTCCCCCTCTCCCCAAAATCCTAGCACCTCTCCCAAGATTTTCTTACAATTTCCACGGTGTGGTGCTGCGGACGCAGTCTGTGGATGAAGACAAAACTGGACGTTTGCCAGGGATCTTCTTCTTGGACCGATTTTTCAAAGTCAAGCCCTCCCACCTTCAAATCCCAACGTCTGCAAACACCCAGTAACCGTTGGCGAAAACCAACCGTTCTTTCGGGAACCACACAGTTCGAGAATTGCTACGATCTTGGTAATGTTGAATATAATGTATATATAGCTTCGAGTCATAAGACACCGAGGAAGATAACGAAAATAACGGCAACATTTCTGACATGTTTAGACATCCGTTAGCTAGGCGACTGTTGGAGTCCTCCATGTTTTGATTCGTCGCCTGCCCAGACGGCAACGGTTTCGGGCGAAGACGGTCACATTTTAAACCCACAACAGTCACAAGGAAGGTACAAACATAACATACATACCCCGGACATACTACCACAGTGAGAAAATGCCAGAAGTCGACGGTCTACGGGTAAAATTGGCTTTTTTTCGTGCTGCGACGGTAGGCAAAGCTCGAAGCTTGTCCAGAGACTAAATAGACGATTCGAACTGACCAATCAGAAGAGAGAAAAATAGCCTCGCTTTCAATGACATGGTGCATGATGGGAGTTGGGTAGAACCACTCATAATATGGGAGGGGCAGCATCTTCCATCTGGATATTGCCACCTATGTTTAGTACCATGATATTGCACTTCTCTTGGAACATCCTGATCTGATATTTTGGGTCATTTTGAAAAGTCCTGTCACACTTCTTGTTGGTATCCTAATATTAGGATCTAATTTCCTTGTGAACGTTTCTTTTGTGTGCTGCTGTTCGCTAGTGGGTTTGTGTGCATGTTTTTTTGTGGACAACATAACTAGAGAAGTTGTGGATGAATCCTGTATGATGGCATGGAGGTAGAAAAATCTCCATGATGATGGTAATGTGTGTGTCAGCAAAGCGAAGGCTTTCTTTTGGTACTCCAGCAGAATTTCTGGTTGTGCTGGACATGCTGTGGTGCTAACTGTTGGGCTTGCAAAGAAGTGATACGAGTCCAATGCCCAGCACTGGCTTTTAGGGCCATCTTGATTTGGTACATCACATCTCAATATCAGAAGGACCTAAACATTTCATTGTCATATTTGTATGCTTGCATGCTTAATGTCTTGCATGCTAACTGTTTAACAAAATACACATGTCAATATAATATACTTTAGGGAATTGGGTAGGGCAAAGTGAAAACAACCTCCCTGGTTAAAAACAAACACATGTACACTTTTTAACTGTTTAGATTTTAATGTTATCACAATCAAATGCACAGAGTATGTACATAATGGCACTGATATGGCCTACACTACTGTACTTTTAGACTACAAAATGTTCCGAGTGTTACACAACACAAAGGCTGCAGGGAAGCCCGGCGGTACTGTTCGACATACTGACTGAGGTGTTGCAGACAGAGCATCATCCACATGTGGGGAGGTGACTGGTCCTGCTCTGATGGTGTCAAAGTGCAGGTGTGCAGAGCTGGGCCTCACACTTAGTGATGAACAGTGGCTGAGGAGGAGGAGCAGCAGGTTCTTCATCATCAGAGGACGAGTCGTCAAACATGTCCAGCTTGTGGAGTGTGTCCCAGATAGCAGCCTTGGCCACCTTGTACTTGGGTTTGGACATGGTGAGTAGGGAATCCTTCACAAAGTTGGCGAAGGCAGCTCTCCTGCCGAGGGTGGCAGGTTCAGCCGACTGCTTCAGCGGAGGACCAGACTTACAGTTGTTACACTGGTTCTTTTGCAGGGCGGGGTCATCATCCTGGTGCTTGCGCTTCCTGGAGGTGGTGACGGTTCCCGAGGTTGAAGGGGAGTCCTCAGGAGCAGCCTGTGCTAAGGTGTCACCCCCCTGTCTGGAATGGTCTATCTGCAATTATGATAATAACGTGTTAGCCACAAGAAAACAGAAGAAATGGCAATACATGCAATTGCACACGAATGCAATGAATTTCAACATAACATACACTTATCGATGGCTGTGACTTGTGGCGGACAAGAGGCCACAAGAAGGAACAGGTCTTGAGGATCCATTCTTCCCTCTCAGTCAACTTCTTGGTCTTATCCCCGCTTATCTTTTTGTCCAGCCTGGTGAAGTTGTCCTTGATGGACCGCCACCACCCCCTGAGGTAGTCGGCTGTCTTCCCAAGCTGTTGACCCTTCTCAGTCCAGAGTGCTTCCTTCATGTCGGTGCGCTTGTAGTGGATGAGCTTACTGTTCCAGAGGACTTGGTTCTCCTTGATCCATCCCATCAAGGCGTTCTCCACCTCAGCATCAAGGGAGTAGCTGGTCTTCTTGGCCCTTTTCCTCTTGGGGGCACCAGAAGAGGCCTGGTACTCCACTGATGGGGACCTTGAGGGCACTTCTTCAGGGGCTTCAGTATCAGAGGAACCAGTGCCACGGCCAGCACTGTTAGTGTCAGTAATGTTACTGGTGGTAGGTTCACGTTTTAGGCGGCCCATGATGACAAAAGGTCGATGTTCACTCTAATATAGTCAATGGAATCTGTACTGGTAGGTTCTGGTGATGAAAAACAGCCGTGTTTTAACTAAATCGGCACACCTAGCATCGACGGGAATACGCTGCTTTTATGTGCTTGGCATTCGTCGGAAGTGCGTCAGACATGCGTTTGGCATACAGAGCTGGCCATTGGGTGAGTCCAGAGTACGCTTGGCATGCGCACTGTATACGGAGCTATTGCGCAGCGCGTTTGTCCACAATGACGCTTCCGGATCCTTGCGGAGACGAGGTGAAGTGCAGACTTAAAGGGAACGTGCACGCGAATTTCAATGTCGCCCGATGGCACAGTATACAGCCGAGAAAGATCAAGACTTTGACATTATGGTTATCATACTAGTACTTTAATCTTGAATCCATGCATCCCTACGCTAAGTCGTAAGTTAACTGCTACTGTACGAACACGCACATCTTTGATTAGGCAATCACTATATAATGATTCGGCACGTGAGATCGTCCGACGATTTCCATGTCGACGTCTTTGCAGTGCCGTAGCAGGCTGACAGAACCAACCGCCGACCAGGATCGATCTTATACAGTCTTCTCCGCACGTAACAAGACAACTGAATTTCGGGACACGTGCATGTTCTCATTTCACGTCGATATTGCGCGACGTACTTGACGGGCCCTTGCGTAACCAGCTTATGTAACTTTGAGAATAGGTGAAAAGCCAGGCTTTTATATAATATAGTGATTCATGCAGAGTCATGAAGGCTTCTTCTTGACAGCGCCTTTGTAAATACAACACATGCACCTGAAAGCATCATGACATGCTGCGCTTATACATGTATTAATATCTGTATAGCGCCACCCCCACACCCCGTGGGCACCAATCATGCACGTACAGTACACGTTTTCCTCGAGAATGTGTTGTGCACGACACCAGCCTACTCAAACTCACATACGTAGGTGAAGGTTAGACATCCAGGTAATGAGATACACAAGAAAACTTAATTGAGCAACTTAAGCGCTTGTGTAACGGTTTTCCGTTGTCAAATTCAATGTCTTTCCGAAGAGACACTATGTAGATGTAGAAAATCGTTTCATGACATTTGAGCTGACGGTATTAAAACATGCCTTTTTAGAACGACCTTGGTGTGCCACCTTGCGCTATAACCATGATGAAGGTGTAGGTTCAAGTTACATTATAATACCAAGGAGGTTTAAAATCATGATTTTAAGCCTTGATAATACATAACATTTCAACTGCTGTTTCACAGTACAAAGTGGACCGGTAGTCATGTTGGGGTTCAGTTTCAACTGTCTTCGCCTTATGGAGAGGCGCTGAAATACAAACCGTAACTTTAACACTGAGTGATGCTTTCAAAAGTCAGATCATGGCTATCCTATATCGGTTGCAAGGCCAGGATAAGTGCCTGTGTGTGGGAACTTGTCGACACTACGTGTGTGTCGATCTCGGATTGCCTCAGAATGTCGTGGATCGGTGACTTTACCACCTCCACAATGAGGCGATGTTTTCTGTGACATTTGTAGAAAATTTTCGCTTCACTACAAACAGGATGCTAGTTACGTTCTGGAGGAGTTGGTTTACTCTTGTTGATCTCCTTACTGGTAGGATCGAACGGTCTACCGGATTGGGGTATGAAAGGAATGCGGACAAGCAAGCTTTTCTGCCTTAGCAGATTGGAAAGATATCGTCGATTTGTTATTAAAAGTCTGATGAATAAGAATGCGCCCCTCTCAGTTTCAATGTCTTTCAATGTCTTATATCAGTTACGAAACGGAATAGATACAAAACAAAACATGGAAATTATGTCTGTCTCATCTGCCGACTCCACTGCCGATCATGGAATTATTGAATCTCCTCAACACTGAAGAGTCAGGCCAGATATATGTTTATATAATACGCGTCATGACCATTCCTCAACAGTTATGTCAAAACACGTGGCTGCGAGAGAGGATACAAGTATTTATACTTTTGGGGCACGTAGAGCAAAATATTTTCACGATGTTCGCACCCAAGGCCAAATAGTCGGGACATGCATGCCACCACCGTCCCACCTTGCCGTATGCAGGGTCAGGCCTCCCTGCTGACGCTTGGCGCCTCAGACTTCTTTCGCGAGGATTTTAAAAATCCATTCAACATGTCTTTTTTTAATCCCCTTTTCTGTAGCACGAAACGGCTGGTAAGATAGGATATTAAAATGTTTTGTTACAGTGTCGGATTCAAGTCTCAGAGTGGCAAAGTAAAGTAAGGACCAAGTAACAAGTGTCCATGGGAAACATCTGTCGTTACATAGTCCCATGGGCTAATGGCCATTCGTTTTCTCCCATCAAAAGAAATGTTGAGTGCTGTACCACAAAAGGTGATAAAAACAAGTTCCCCAATACCGTTGGACTTCTGAGGCAGGTGTTGGCAGGTGTCGGTATCATATCGGGGAACTATGGGATTGCGTCGCTGTCGAACAATACCTTAAAAGTTGAGAGTCGCAAGTGTTGGCCCTGAGTTTAGTTTTGTACCCACTGACCAAATAGCTGGATTTCAGCGGAGCATTGCACACATGTTGTCAAAGTTTGTTTTGAAAGTGTGAAGTTGGAGGACTACATCTGTTCACTTCCGGTTTACCGCATTCCCCGCGCGTGACGTCACACGGCATCCGGGCACTTGTAATGGCGACCCTTGTGAGCGGAAGAGAGCTAGCGAGTGGGAGCGCCTTCCCTGTCGTACACCGGTGAGTATGCCTCTTTGATTACCTCCTCAAGGATTCTTTGGGTTCTGACACACTTGATGAATATTTTCCTAAGGCCAGGATGCCCTCTGAGTCGAATGTACGCTGCACGATGGCCAGGAAGGCGGCCGACAAGTGGGCTAGCCTAGTACAGTGCAGTTCCTCTGTGTCCCCACTTGTCATGTCAGCTCAGCTCAGGAATCAGATCAGGGGGGTGGGCGAAAATAAAGCAACCTCAGCTGTGTCAGCAGGATGGACACCCGCTCAGCAGTCGTGCGGAGATTGCCACTAAAACGGCCTCAAAGGTGGCCTTTTCTTTGGCAATTCTGCCAGGCTTTGATGTGATGATGACTTCCCGTCAGGTTCTATAACACCAGCAGAAGGTTTGTACTTGTTAATGCACCGACTCCTCCGATGACAGGTTGCAGCGCTCGCGTTCCGAGTCGGGATCGGATATCCCTGTCCCAAAACCAGTGGCAGCCATGAGCACGGGATATTTTGAGGAACCTGTTCTTCCGTTTCCTGCCCCCCTCCCCCACCCCCGAACAGATTTCCCCCCGAACAGATTTCCCCCCGCTGTTTATATTACAAACACACTGTGGTCCGACAGGTTCATTGAAATGTTTGTCCTTTACTGGACCAGTATTGTCCAATTTACATAACAGGTTGATTTGATTAGTGTAGATTACATATACATTGTTTTGGTACCAGGTCGTTATTGTTATTTATAAGCACCATGTAGTTTGGGAATGCAGACCTCCACCCATGGCTGTATGGTGTTAGAAACCCCACCTAACACTACATGCTCTTTTCCCCTTTAATGCTATTTGCAGTTAGTCAGTGTCTGACATTATATAACCTCCGACAAATATTTACCTGGATCAAGTACTATATAAAGAACAGGCCCTCTTGAGAGGTCTACTGAACCCTGTATCATTCAAGGCCAAGGAATGTGGCCAGCCTTTGAAGACATGAGCCAGGTGTCATGGACCTGGTTCCTCCTACATCCAGTTTACAAAACTTTGTCTACATGTATTTCACGTGATCCAGGTTGTTTATGATCGTTGTTTGAGTTCATGATTCTGTAATTATGACGCAAAGTGTAAATAGAAAGTGGAACAAATGTTGGGTTAACCATGATGTAATACTGGACATGGGGGAATTCCCCAGATATCCCCATATCATCATCATTATTTAGACTTCTCCATGGCAGGTGCACTTCTCAGCACTTGCCAATGATGGGACTTGAATGGGGATTTTGATCTGAATCATCCATTCACAAAATGTAGGATATTGTATGAGTTGTATTTGAAACATTCTGTACATAAACAAAAATCTATAATTTTGATTCTTGGTCAATGTATGACAATTGTATGTTTATGTATTTATAGATTTGTATAATTGGCAAAATTCCTACCAATAATATTAGATCTCTTACTTTGCTGTGACAACTGTGGCTGTGATTTGTAGCCAGAAAATCAGTGTTGTTCAGCTATTTACATGGGCATGTACATGTAATCTCTCTCCCACTGGTACATTATAGCAGAGGAGTGGCAGAAAGAGCAGACCAAGGAAGATCACAACATCTAGAATGGTTCTCAGACTATTAATGCCATGGAATGTGGCTCAATGTCACTATATAGTGTTTTTATTGGCCATGCTTCCTGATGTAATGTATTTTACACTGCACCACAATATCATTTAATGGCATGGGGATTGCCACAGTCTACTGGCGTGAATGACTTGAACTGCTCTTCGCACATGCAGCAATGGGTTTTTGTAGCCATGCACAGGTCATAATAGTTAATGCAGTAGTATTATAGCTGCAGCATTGGTGAGTGTTAGTGGAATGTATAATAGCAATGCTGCCACCATCCCTGAAGTGATCTTCCTTGACTCTGCAACTCATCTGCAAAGAGAACCTTTCTTCACCATGCAGTAATTGTTTCCAACTGTTTCTGGTATCTTCTGTTAGACTGTCAGTCTCTGGGTTTTCTCAAACCATCAACAGAAATTCATAACTTGTGTTGATCAGTGAAGGAATCAGGGCAGGAGAGCAGCCAGGGCTTTGACCCCATTCTGCTTAGCATTAGTAGTAAGATATGTTCAGTAAGTCTCATCACGTGTGGAGGTTACATTCTGCTTTCAATGTACATGTATCAGTTGGCAAACACAGGTTAGGATTCACAATCGGTCCTTATGGTATACAATGAAATGATGTAGCAAAGTGAAAGTGATCATTATGGGCAGTTACCTGGACATTGGAAAACAGGAAAAAAGATGACAGTTGGAAAGATAGCCTTAAATATGAGCAAGGACTTACAAATATACATTGTAATAAATGCTGAACTTGAAATGTTGATTACAATACAGTATATGACTTTTGTTCTGTAGGACCATCTGTAACAATCTATTTTGGCTAGACTTATTTAGACTGGGTAGCCCATTGACCTCACTGTAGCCGTTCTCTCCAGAGGTCCAGTTGGAGGTCAAGGGTCAAGACAACAGAAGCACAGCTTCTATTTCTAACTGTGACATGAAAAACTTTTTTCGCCATTTTGAACTTTCCAGAATACCTCAAAGTAGAGGTAATAGCTGAGTCCACTGAGGTGGGGATGTACACAGGAAAACATGTCATATTCAGTGTTTTAAGACTTACAAAAAATTAAATTCTTCATTACTGTTTTTAACAATTGTTTTTAACAATTCCTTTGTCTGTGCACTTGGACATAACCTTGATTTTGATAAGTTCATCCTGGAATTGCTGCATCTGTGGTAGGTATGATATCACAGACCCAAGAACAGGAGTCAAGAAAACAGTGTTATCATTTTTGTATGATTTATGACTAAATACTTATAAGTAGACCGTAAATGATGAATGACAAGAGTTGTATGCCCAGTAGGCAAAAAGTCAGATCAGTTTAAGTTTTATCAGGGGGCGTTATATGTTTTTTTCCCCTGTTGACAGCTTGGGGACTGTGATTTGTCAAGATAATTTCTCCCTGAGGTAAATGAACTTCATGGTCATGGCAGCCCATGGCATACCTGACACTGTTAGTCACACTCAAGTATTCATCATGGTCTAAGTGGGGTAAAAGCATGTATTATACTATTGGGAATAATCATTGGAAAAGTCACATTTTCCCCCACTGGACATCTTTTTTCTTAGGGATTTATATTTTTGACATTGTAAATGTTTTGTTCAGTTCTAATCTTTTTGTGACATGTATAATTTCAAATTTGATTGAATGAGTCACACAGCCAACAGTTGGGATGCAGGTTTGTAAATTACAATTGTCTGTGGAAAACTCTGGTGTGTTTTTTTGGCACACATATAGGTCATTTATACTCTCTGTAACCAAGAATCCAACATAGTTGGAAGGTTCTGTCCAAATTCCAGTAGAAAACATAAACACGCCTTTTAACCTGTTTTGTTTCAGGTGTTCTGGAGGTGATTCAACTTGATTTATTTACTTAACAGTTTACTAGGTCTGCCAATGTTGAGTGAGACTGGCTGTCACAATGAAAATGTTCCAGGAAAATCAGGAAAGTTCCAGGCCCTTCTCTCTTTCAGATTGATTATTATGCTCCATATAATATATATTGATTTTTTACTCCCCCCCCCACCTTTTCATTAAAAAAAGATCTTCCGAGAAGCTCCTTGAAGTTCAAATGAGTAGCCTCAGGGTTGGGAAAAGATACAACAGTTTTCTTTACCCTAATGTCTTATCTGGCTCACATGTATCTGATTCTGAAGATATTTTGGCAGAACTGGGTCAGTCTGATTTTGACAAATAAACAGATGGGTCATATTTTTGGCTAACATGTTAATGGCAAAGAGACATTGTCCTATAGGGTAGGAAGTATATCATGCCAGCTTGCCCTGCACAGTTAGCAGACAGACACAGTACAGGTGGTGGTTGGTGGAGGCACCAGTAATTGGATTAATACTGATGGACCAACCGCTGTCAGTGCTGGGCTTCTCAGGGAACAGTATGTACAAAACAGGTGGGCTCAGGATGTATAAACAGTTTCTGAACTTGACAATGCCAAGGTTTCTTCTCAAGAACCTGGGCCCGGGGACGTCTGCCCATGACTCATACCTGGAACCCTGCTGTTGGCGTGACATTGTTTTCCTGAAAGGCAAGAAGTTGTTTGAACTTCAAGCCTCTCATTAGAGTGCTTTGCCGGCATTCCTTCATTGTGGTCTGGATGGATTTCAGACTTTCTGGCTCATTTGAAAAGTTCACACCATTAGAGCTAGGTTGGGCTTGTAAATGTAATTCCCAAAAGGTAACACAATGTATATACATGTATATAGAAATTCATTCCACATCCCCCCTATGTAATTATTGTAAATGTACCATAATACTTGATGTATGAAGAGATTGTGCAACATTTCATTGATCTGCATGGCTGGGATTTCAAGAGGACATATTTTATTTTCACACATAAGAAAAGTACATATATATCATTGTGGGGGCTGTCTTTCATACCTTTCAAATGTTGGTCTTTGTCAATACCGTGTATTATTTTTTGCTGTATTATTTATTATTGTAATTTCAGTAGTAACAGATAATAAAATGCTTGATTTTTTGTTTGTTTGGATGGAGGGAGTTGTGTCAAAAGATAATTGCACATTCCTTTTTACTACACAGTCTAGTGTACCAAACCCTTTGGAAACTGACCCGGTAACTTGCAGTGTTTAAAGTTTAACCTATCCTGTCACAAGCATTACTGACTTAGGTAGACCTCCAGCCAAGCTTTACACGTTACATGAAAACTTGTCATGTTGAGCAAAAGCATGATTAACATTTACCCAATCATGACTAAAAACACACGTGACGTATAATGTGAGGTGACAATACACCAAACACTGAACAGCTGCAATGTAACAGACCTTCATAGACTTTTGAACTTCACAAGTCTTAGCGTTGTTTTCAGAGCCAATGTCTAGCCTGAAGGGTGTCTTACTAGAAATAGATCCTAATATGAGATAAATC